CCTAAAATTAAGTATCTCTGAGTTGAATGAATGAATGAATGTAAGTAATACTGATTGTGTTAGATGAGATAACAATCATGAGAGATGAGGTAAAGACAAGCTGTGATGGGGTGAAGTGAGCTCAGGTGAGATGAATCAGGATGAGATGAGGACATGAGATGACGTGGATGAAAAAGAAGAAAGATTTAAGAAAAGGTGATGAGATTTTGTGGGTTTAAATGAAAAGAGGCACAAAATATTTCCATGCATTTATTCCCATTCATTTACAACTTTAAAAATATCACCCATTAATTATATCGATGAAAAACTGGTGAAAACCATTATTAAAAAAAATATTATTTACAGTACAAACTCCATCGTATTTCAGCTCCTCCGTCAACAGGGGGCAGTATCTCTCCACGCCTGCAAAGTTCCACAGACATACAGTAAACCTAAAAGACTCATATACTTACAGTAACTCACAGAATATTTTGAATATCAGTGCCATGCAGTAGTAATTTACAATTCAACAATTAAATATAGACTTCAAAATTTGTGATATCAGATCCAAAAGATTTTTTTGAATTGGATAATATTATAATCTTTTCCTGACCTTAAAATTGTTGTTCAATTAAAAAAGCATAAAATATGGTTGAATTCCTCTTACAAACAAAATGCAAAAATACATTTTCACCTATGTGATCAGAACATGACTGGCCAGAGTCAGTGTGCTGAATGACTTATCATCCAGTTTAAGTTTCTGCCAGTGGGGATCAGTGTTGTCCACTCTTTGGATGTGCTGGTCCTTTTTGCCCCCCCCCCCCTCTGATGCAGATGTGACTGCTTGAATATGACTGGCTGCATCTAGAGTTTGAATGAAAACAGTTGCTCTAGTTTTACTCGTCCCACTTCTGCACTCTACGTATATATTCCATCTGTGTGTGTGCGTTTTCCTTTTCTTCACTTTTTGTGTTGAACCCATTATCTAATGGGAGCGACAGCATTACCTGCACATGTTAATCTTTGAATAGATTTTTTTTTTAATGTGTGTTGATGGAAATGTCTCATTTGCAGTGTACCAAGTTATAAAGGTAATCTTTTTTTAAAATCTAGCCACAGATCCCATTCAAGTGCCAAAGAGTGGGAGGAAAGTTGTGGAGATGATTATGTATGTATGCACGGATTGACGGATAAAAAATATCGGGTAAATATGATTTGATAAAACTTTAATTCAAGCACAGTCACTCTACCATCTTAAAGCCTGAGGTGGATGCGTATTCATGACTGTCACCAGCTTCAGAACAGAGCTAATGTAGAAAACATGGTGTGCTGAGAGACTTCAACTTGCTCCACTGTGATCAGGCCAGATGCAATGAGCATGAGATCACCATTCTGCAAAAAAAATCATGTGTGTGTGTGCTGCTTAATTATCCATTCAAGCAAGGATTATGTATGTGAGTATGAGATGGGGAAAATTACTACTTGACTATTTTTTTTCTTACATAAAGTGATGTCTTTTTCCTTCGTCCCCCCATAACTGATTTCTCCCCCCTCACTTAATAACCATCCATTGTAAAGCGGTCTTAAGATAAGTTGTTATATAAATGTGTAAGTACAGTAAAAATAAAATGGTCCTTTCAGCTATTATTATAAAAATAACCATTAACGCAATGGTTATGATGTTATAGAGGAATTCTAATACTGAGAAAATTAGGAAAAAGTGTTAGAGCAAAATGCTTGTTTAAAAAAAACATTACTCTTTCATATATGCTATAGTGTTAGCAGCCTTCTTTACGTCAGTGCACAAGGTATTAGCATGGGTTTTATGGGCTCTCAACATAGCACATGCCAAAGCATAACCACAGAAACTAATATTGAGAAAAAAAACATGACAGAATGAAACGATTGGCTGGCGTTCCTGCCTGTCACTAACCAAGCTCCCTGCACGCCTGGCTCTAACTGCACATGACCTGAGTCTTCACAAATCAGGGACACATATACATCTCTGAAGCAGAGGCTACTGCCAGGAGTTGGCGAGCGAGTCAACTCGCGACAACTGCTAGGAAAGTCAGCTTCTAGCAGTTGTTAGTGCACGGTCATGTGTTTTGGGGGCGTAGCTTTGACAAGAGGGCCGTTGGGAGGGGGTGGGATGATTCGTTGAATATTTTCAAACTGTAGCCAGCTCTAGCAAGATTTTCC